GTAAACCAGACAGGAAACATAACTAGATGAGCTAATTCTACTTTATTGTAAGGCTACATTAACAGAATCTTGCAAGTCTGAAAGTACAAACCTGCCGCCCTCCCTATTGCCCTAACTATTCAGGTGGTAAAGTCCTTCCTAAGTTTCTTTCTCTGGCCATTACTCTGTTGTGGACTCCTTTCTCTTTTATCTGGTCATTCCCTAGGTGGCATCTTTTCTCCCCCTTCTTCCAAGATCACCCTCACATTCTCTCACAGGTGCTGCGGGCAGGCAGCACAGGAGTACAAATTCCCCATGCCACCTCAAGGGTCTTTGGGAGAAAAAGTGGTGAGAAAAACTTGCAACCTCCTGCCAGCTTCCCCACTGAATTTGCTTGCGGGAAGCCAGCAGGGAAGGTCGCAAATGGCTATCACATGACTGCGGGATGCTGCAACCATCATAATTGCAAGAAGGGTAAAACATCAAGCCTGGCTTTGAGAAAGGCTCTTTGTTGGGCAGGAGAGACTAAAGTAGTTAAATATCTATTCAATTCCCATCCAGAATAAATTTGTGTGAGCCTGGAATATGGTTGACCTCACTATGGAATCCCAGACCATTTCTCTATATACTGTAATACAAACACTAACATAAACATTTTAAATTAAAAACACTTTAAAGAAAAAAATAAACCTTTTAAAAATAATAAGACAGCACAACAGTTTTAATTTCATTAAAAGAACTCTGCACAACTTTTAAAATGTTTGCATGTGCTCAAACAATATCAATAGTTTAGTTATTAGGCTATTTTTATTTTTGTTATAAGAGGAATAGCTTTTAGGGAGCCAGTTCAAGGTTAATGTTCTAATTATATTTATTACACTTATCTGTAGACTCTATGTAAAGTTTACATGATAAATTGAAAAAAATAATCCTACATTGTTGTATACATTTGGTATGTCCTAATTTATTTTCAGAATGTTAATACAGTTTGGACCATATATTCCATCTCCCTTTTTCTATTTAAGATGACTCAGATCTATAGATTTAGAACAACAATTCAACTGTGAGAATGGGATGCAATAAATACTTTGTTAAGCAGAGTGTTTTGATTTTAAATAGAGGTCCGGGGCCATATAACCTAGGACTTTCAGTTTTGAATAGCAACAACTTTTAATCAAACATTGTTTCCTCAAACTGAGGAAACAATGAACTGAACTGGTCTAGAAATAACAATCTCAAGACATCATAATGACAGATATCGTGGACATGGGTCCTTGTGCTGGTTAATGACCCAATAAAGTTATTTCATTTCATGGACATGGGTCTGTAAACCAAGAAACTGCCAAACACAGAGAAAAATGCGGGAACAGAAGTTGGGTTGACTCCTGTGTATGCTGTCCCAATTTAGATCTTAGGATTAATATGAAACAAGGTTTAAAATCACTTAAATGTGTTTAAGCAACATCAGTGTTTTGCAGATTAAAAACACATGCTGTTCTTATAAATCATTGATGGAAGTTACAGATAAATAACCTGAGCTAAATGGAAAAGTAGGGTACCATCTACCTCACCATTCCTCCTTTATGGAGAAAAATAAACTAAAGAGTAGAAACAAATAGCTGTAATATAAAAAAGTTTGTTTATAACATTTATTATTCATTTACAGTCCTAGACCAATCGTAAAAGCAAGTACAATTGTGGTAAATTTAAAAATAAATAAACAAAATTATGTTAAAAAACTGAAACAGTCAATGATAGGTGGTTTTAAAAAGCCATGGCTATAGATAAGAATTTGGTAATTCTAACCTCTTTACAAGTTTCTGAGAAATGAACACATAGAAGGAGAGCAGTGATCTCATAATCACAGGAGCAATTAAAATTATTGACGACTGGGGCTACATCACCATTGGGTGTATAATGGGCATTTTAATAACATATGTGATGCACATTCAGCCTCTGTATCTGAGCACAGGCAAGTGTGGCTTTCACATGGAATGTTAGCTGGTTGTTGTCCTAATGGGTAGCACCCCAATTCGTGCCAAAATAAAAAAGTCTGCTGGGTGTAACTTATAGGATATCAAAGAAAGACGTAGGAGTAGTCCAAGGCCGAGAGGCAGTTTTATTACAGAAAAGATGGGAAACACTGGCTCTGTCAGTTTGAATAGCTCAAGTCCCAAGGGCTGAAAGTGTCAGCAAGGAAAGGCCTCAATCTGCCAAGTCAATGTTAATTTGCCTCCTTACATAGAGCCAGACCTGTTTAGCAAGATGAGAAGGGCCAGGGAAGTTCCTCAAAAGCCAGAATTTGAGTTGGTGGTGTCTCAACAGAGCCCCAAAGAAGATGCAGCCTAATTCTAACCATATTTGAGTATTAGAAGTCGAGTGAGGGACATGAAGTCTAATTTTTAAGAATCTGGATAGGATGACTTCTAAGCTTGGTATATCTTTATAGACACACAACTGAGCAGCATATTGCATTATACCCAGAACTTTAGCTTTAAATAATTTAATGGCAGCATACTCATTTCCAAACCAACTTGTGAACTTAATAATTGTAAGGTATACCATTTGGGCTCTTCTAAACAGTTCTCTTGCTGAAACTGACCAACCAGTAGAAGATTAAAATTTAACACCCAACTATTTAAAAGATTCAACCTATTCAATAAACTTACCATTGATTGTCCATTTAACTGGAGAGTTAATACACTTCCTAAAACATATCAAGAACTTCATTTTGGAGTAGTTAATTTCAAAACATTATCTAGTGCAGTAATCTGGACAGAATGACCACACCGTCAGCATAAATAAGAACAGAAATGGGGCTGTGTGTAAGGGATGGAGGATGGAATTTTGGCTTGGCAAAACCTCACTGATGTCATTAATATAAAATTAAGAATAGTGGGGCACATTTGCAAGTAGAGATAGGTTCAGTTAGGTCATCTAGCTGGATACCCTTGACTTAGATGGTAATGCTGTAATGTAGTAGTATAATTAGTTTCAGTGTATGTCAATCAATAGAAGTGGCAGTTAACTTTCTCTAGAGTCTTTCATGAGGTATTAAATCAAAGTCTGCCTTTAAATCTATAAAGGCAATATAAAGAGTGTTTTTAGGCAAGTTACAATATTTCTCAGCGAGATGATAGAATACGATGCATTAGACTATGGCAGAGCAACCAGATCTGAAGTGAGCCTGCTCAGAGGCCAAGATACTTTTTGAAGGACATCCAGTCTAAGGATTCATAATACAACAATCTGGCATATAATTTGCTGATTATGGATGTAAGACTAATTGGACAGTACTTTGCAGGTTCACTTCTACCACCTTTTTTGTATACTGGAAGAAGAATGGAATTACATCAACTATTAGAGATACACAAATAATTATTTATAGCTTTGAAAGGGAGGCTAACACAGTGGCCCATCATATAGAATTTAACGTTAAGAATTCAGGTAAAACTAAATCTTTCCTTGGGGCTTTACTATTTGTCAGTTCTGCCAAGATGAAACTGAGGGCCATTCAGTGAGAGATTCACTTCAAACTGGACATGAGATACAGTAAATATACCACAATAATACTGAGCCAAAGACTTGGAAGAGATTAAGTTGTTATTTTTATCAGAGTTAACTTTGACAGGGAATCAAGAAACAAGGAGGAAAAACATGCTATCATTTTTATTAATCACAGCCTGTTGGATCCTAGTTCAAGTTTCTAAAGCCTAGTTTGCTTTTTCTCCTTTCAAAGCCATTCAGGTGTAAGGATTCTGAACCCAGGTCTTGCAATGTTCCAGGACAAGAGTTGTATAATGAGGGAGGAGGGTAGCAATCTACCAGAAGAAACAGCCCAAGAAGCAGAAGTAGAAACATTTATAGACGTTAAATCTGCAGTGTCAGAAAGAGCCCAAACAGACAGAAGGCAAGAATGCAAGTGGTGGATTTTGTCCTAAAACTTGTAGGATCTTTTAGGGAGTGTTCCCAAATAGAGCTAAACATTATCCTGCTGGGGTAGTGAGACCTAGATCTGCACAGAAGCATTCACAGATTGGTCCACTAAGTCGGAATCTGAGATACTGATATAGATTGTTACTGTACAAGAGTCTTCCTTTCTGGATAAGCAGGGTAGGGAGGGCACATGCCATCTGGGGAGAAGATGTACTGCACTTGGTAAATCATTGGAAGAAATAATAATGTTGTCATCATAATTGCCATTTGAGTCAATTTCATATTCATACTTATCAAAAGGCAGACTCAAGTCTGCAGGCATGGTAGCTGTAAGGCCATTTGGGAGCAGACTAACAAGGTCCTCCCACAGGGTAAAGGAATTTCTGACTTCCTTCCTAGTTATAATATGAGCACAATGGCAGCTCAAACTGTTCCTTTGTAATTATTTTTATCACATATAGAAAATGTGAAAAACAGTGAAAAAAATAATCACAAAATGAAAGAGATATAGATCATAAGGCAAGATGAGAACAACAGCAGTTACCTTTCTTATACGTTCAAATCCATGAAGAAAATAAGAATACCAGGAAATGATTTGTGCCCCAGTTTAGCCAATTTCATCAAAATGCATCAAAAGTTGCATTTGAATTTAATATAATTCCAGTGAGTCCAGTGCAACTTACTTGCCATAGCCTTCCTCCCATTGCTTTAATTGCTTTTTTACTGCCCTGTAGTTGGCCTGTAACATCTGCAGACGTTTCTTACGTTTTTCATGGGCTTGTCTCAGCTCATCATTTTCTTGGATCTGTGTAACACCAAAACAAGCAAGACCGAATAAACTTTAAGAACTTAAAATGACAGTACGCTATTGTTGAATTTCTTATTTATGACCATTTATCAATATACTATTTATTACACCTAAATTGAAATTTGAAGAATTCACTCTTAAATAACTAATGTACTTGTCTCAAAGTTAGAGAAACTGCTTGGCTAGGACCTAAAGAACTGTACAACTGGTTCTGTATGCTCATCAGAAATTTGTATTTGTGCATCTTAAGGAACACGCAACAGTACAGTAAACTACTTTTGAAATTATGTGAGTTTTAAAGAAATATACTGCATGAATCAACACAAAAAAACCCCCTGAAATCCTAAAATGGCACTTGAAATCTTGTGAACTTAATGAAGACTTTAAAGAATTGATTATGGAATCTGAACAATTTAACACCTTATATTATACCATATACTTATTTTCTACCAGCTACAGATAAGTATAGAACATTTGATCTGGTAGGAACTGACCAGAGGAAAAACTTCTTTATATTTAATCTTAAATTGTGACCATGATCTGAGAGACATCAGAGACAACACAAAACAGTGATATTTAATATATACGCAAGTGAGAAACTTCAGCAAGGTGCAACGACTACATTTGTCTACACAGGGGAAATTTCTCATAAGTCAACAACAGATTGGTAATAATGCCTGGAGATTATTTGAAGCAATATTTAAGACTCAACTGGAATATATCCTGCAATTTAAGAAAGGATCATCCAAATCCAGGGAGAGGCCAGTATGGCTCTTTAATAGTGTAAAAGGTATGACAATTTCCTTTAGGATATGAAAAACCTGTTCTAATGAGAACAAAAGGAGCATAAAATAATTTGAGGCTGTTATGGCAAATGAATGAAACAATGAAACAATGAAACAATAAGAACTACTTTAAATATCTAAAGCAGAAAGCCATTCCAAAAAGCAGTTAGATGGCGAAGAAGTGAAATGGATGCTGGAATTTTAAGGACGACATGGAGACTGTGGAGAAAGAATTATTTTCACTTTTCTTTATACCAGAAGATATAGGACAAACACTTCAGCCTGTACTGACTTTCTCAGAGAAGGAACTAGAACTAAAGCAAATTGAGGTAACGACAGAAAATATTATAATGGGACAACTAAGTAATAAATCACTGGTTTCAGACTGCATCGACTAAAAAATTCAAAAGTAAAATTGCTGACCTAGCAACAATACATAACTAGCCAGTTTGGTCCATTGGTTAAGGCATCAGGCTAGAAAGCAGGAGACCCTGAGTTCTAGTCCTGCCTTAGGCATGAAAGCCATCTGGGTGACTTTGGGCCAGTCATTCTCAGCCCAACTCACCTCACAGGGTTGTTGTTGTGGGGGAAAACAGGAGGAGGAAGAAGTATTAGGTATGTTTGTCACCTTGAGTTATTTATAAAAAACAATAAAGGCAGAATAAAAAAATCTAAAAAAAAAACTTGTGTTCCTAACACAACAGTAAAAGAGAACTGGAAAGTAGCCCATGTTACACCAGTTTTTAAAAAGGAATGCAGGGGAGCACTGGGAAATTAAAGGTGTTCCTCAAGCATCTCTACTGAAATCAGTTTTTATAAATGATCTTGAGTTGGGATAGGTAGTAAGTTAGCCACGTTTGTGAGTGACAAGAAACAAGTCAGAGTGGTTACAAATACAAATATTTGGTATGAGCCTCAGAAGAATCTTTTTAAATTGAGTGAACCAAATTACAAATGCTCACCACACTAGAAAAGAGACTTTGCCAACAATATCAGACTGGGAAATTAAACTTGGAAAATATTTATTTATTTAATTTCTATAGCCGCCCATCTTAACCAAGTGACTCTGGGCAGCAAACAATTCTAAAACAATAATATGCAGCAATGGTAAAATTAACAGTATATATTCACAACAGAAGCTTAATTAAACGTAAGCAGAAACGGCTCCCTTATATATCACATATCACACAAGGCAAACTTAGATATTTAGAGTTCAGTTTCTAAAGGAAAAAACAGATGAAAGGATTTAAATAGAAACAATTTCTAATGCTTGTAAATACACTGATGGCAATTATCAGTTGGGGCACAATGGAAGGGAAGAATATTATTTGTAACCAAATAGTTTCTTAATAATATTTTTATTGCTTTTATCTTTCTCCTTTTTTGTGATATATCAATACAATTTCTTTTTATTTTCCTTTTCTTTGTGACTATTTGTATTTATTTTCTGAATAATAAAAAATAAATTTAAGAAAACCAATTAATAAATCAACTTAAATAAATGTAATATAATATATATTGGGACAACCCCTCCACAACGTACCATATACTCTGATTAAGTATAAAAAAAAAAATCTCAGGGTCGCAGTGGACATAATCAGTGAAGATGCTAACTCAATATGCATCAGCGAAAAAGGTGAATTCTAACCTAGCAATTAAGGCTGTACAGTGCTTTAGATTTAAAGGCAAAAAGATACTTTAGATTATATGAGGGCATGAACATGTCTACAACTCCTTAGATCAAGCACATCTTAGGATCCTGGTAAAAGACATGGCTGCTTTAAGGAGTTGCAGACAGGTGCTGCTCTTACTGCTGAACACTCAGAAGCACCTTTTCCTCCTTCAAACTGAAAGTGCTGCACAACGTTATGGGACAGGAAATACACCTGCCAATAATATTACACAAATCGACATTACGTCTGCATTTGGAATACTGTGTAACATTCTGACCAACATATCTGAAAAAGGAATGTAACACTGATGGAAAAAGTACAGACGAATGGAACCAAAACACCAAGTCTGAATACTTTCCTTATATGAAAAGGCTAGAATATTTTGGACACTTTACCAAAATAAAAAATAAAAAAAAACACCTGAGGGAGGATATGATTAAGGTGTACAGGATAATGCACTTATTGAGATGGGCGGCCATATAAATTGGATAAATGAATAAATAAATAAATGGAAGGTTTTTCAAACTATGTTCCACAGCACCCTGGGGTTCTATGAGAATTTGATGGGGTTCCATGAGAGACTAAGAAAAAGCTTGAATTGCAATCAATTCTATCACTAGAGCTTTGCCTCTTAATCAGAGGTTCTGGGAATTTTTCTTTTTAACTAATAGGTTCTGTGGCCTGAAAAAGTTTGAAAACATCTGGAATAATACACAGCATGGATATTATGAAGAACAAGAAGTTTTTCTTCCCCTTAGTAACTGTGTCATTCATTATCATAAGACATAAGGATGGACACTGGATGATAAATTCATGGAAGACAGGCTTATCAAAGCTTATTAGCCTTGAGACAGGATGTTATCTCTTGATTGGGTCAGTATGCCTTCAAATTTTCAGCCAAAGGTGAACAGGAGTGGGAAAGAACTAATTCCTGCTTTTAAGAACCCTAGAGGTGCCTGTTTGGCTACTGTAACAAAAAATGCTGGGATAAGATAATATAACTTAATTCGGCAGATTATTGATTATGTAGGATGTAGGATGAGAATTAAATTTCAAAATATGCTGGGAAAATATTTTTTTAATGTTGCATTTAAGTGCATGAAATAGTAATCTGGATTTTCACGTATTTATTCTTACATATCTGCATGACTGTCAGTTACATGATATGTTTCATACCAGTTTCTGTATCTTTTGAAATTCAAAGGATTTGTGTGACTGAACCCATGATTCCAGGCATTAGGCTATTTTTCATATATGTGAAAATAATCTACATAAAAATGTATCAAAAACTTTCAAACTTATTTGATATGCACAGATTTATTCATATATGCAGAGTAAGGATATATAGTCAAATGAAAAAGTAAGTACACCCTTTGAATTTTAAAAAAAATTTTCAACATATTTCAACATATAGATATTTGAACTTCATTTCAACAAAACTGATACATAAAGGGGATACAATATTACAAATATCATGCACCATTTAAATTTTGTAGTCCATTGTGTAATTTAAATAAACATAAAAGTAAATTTTGCATGTGGAAAAAGTAAGTACACCCCTATATTTATCAAATACCTCAAATTAGAATCAGGTGCACCAAATCAGGTGTAAATGATTAGAACATCATTAGAGGGGATTTGGGAAGAACTTGCCTTATTGAAATCTAAGAACATTTAGTCTGATTTGCTCTTTGTTGTTAAAGTGTGTGGCATCACCATGCCTAGATTGAAAGAGCACTCTGAGGCCTTCAGAAAGAAGGTTAGAGATG